AGTGATGGAAGGGATATGTGGGGTTTTCTACAATCCTACTCTGATGATTTTATCAGAAGCCTGAAGCTATTTTGTCTGTTTTTAATGCATTGAATCTTCTCTACCCAGGGATAGAAAGCTGTGACAACAGAGGTCTAGCAGAGGAACAGAAACGGCCAAACCCAGAACCAAAGCATGAGACAGAGTGGTGGGTTTCCCAGATCACAGAGCAAATAAAGATGAGAGACTTTGGGCAGAAGACCTGCTTGTACAGTGGAGTACTCCAGACACTTAATTGGGGCAGCTAAATTTGCTGGCCCAGGGAGCTAGAGGTCAGTGCCTCAGGCTGAGACTTATTGTGGAGTGGTGTACCCTGTGGGCATTTACGGAAGCCCTTAAAAAGGTTTGTAATATTGTCCAGGCAGAGAAAGGCCTGCCTGTGGACAGAACTGAGGAGACATTGTCCTGATTGGATGAACTGTGCTCTGAACTGTGTCTGAGTTCTGTGTGGCCAATACAATGAATTACAGAATTCAGATGAGAAGTAGAGAGCGCTGTGGGAAGAATGGTTTTGTGCTCATTTACTGAAACTTTTTACATTACTAAAGCTCTGCTGCAGCTTTGCCATCTCTCAGATTTAAATTGAAATTTATTTATCTCCAAGTCCTCCATCTTTCCTACTCATGCTTTGGTAGTAACACAAATGTGGACTGCTAATAAAGTGTGGGCAGAAATCTACTTTTAGGTGGCTCTCCAGAGGATAGGTTTAATTCTTTTTTTAAAGTTTTTATTGTGGATTGAGTGAAAGTTTACAGGGCAGATCATCAGTTTTACATCCAACAAATCATACACCTTGCTTCATTACAATGATTATAATCCACTCCATGTACCATTCTTTTTTTATGGACAATCTTGCCTTCTGTGTCATGATAATTGCTAACACTCATCTGAGGTATAATCTGTGCTACGCACTATGCTAAGATTATTTCAGCTAAACTTCTCATCCACCCTATGAGATTGATCCTATCTGATATACAGAGGAAGCATCTACTCCATGGAATAGTAACTGACTTGCTGAAAGTTGTACAACATAGAAGTCACAGTGCTAAGATCTGACCCTCTTCAGTTTACTCCAGCAGGGCTCAGATGAGTCAGCAGCCTCCTTTTTGAGCTCTTTAACTGGAACCTGAAAACTAACATAGTATAACAGACAATGGGCTTTTAGGTATGGTTTTAGGAAGCGTGATGGTTTTTATGCAGAGGAAAATAACTTGTTTGAATTGTATTCAAATGTTTGGTAGAAAGTGTAAGTTTTAAATGATGAACTTGTCTGATGATATTTCTAACAATATCTTAAAAGAGCCACATGGTTTCTCTTTGCCAGTTATAGTAAAATGTAAGAGAAAAGAGATGGATTTAAAAATAAAAATAGAAAAAGATTTTGAAAATCCTGTTGTGTAAACCAAGGACAGGTGTTCTAGGATGTTCACCAAGGTTGTGACTAATCAATCTTTTGTTAAAAAGTTTAAATCTGTAGCTGATAGATCTAAGCAGCTACCAGCAAGGAGGAAAAAACAACAACAACGAAATAAAACCTCATCAGCTCAGACTGAAGAGGAAAGAATGAGTTAAGGGGAAAAAATGCTGTCTGCCTCTTAGACTTCTACAGGTAGGAAACAGGCCAAAGGAGCTACATCTGTGCCAAAAGAAAAGAAAAAAAACATTCCTACAGAGGCTCAGAGATCAGCAGATTTATTGGAAGGAACATAGAAAGCAGCACCTTCTGGGTTTTAATGGGTGGGGCAATGGTTGCCTGGATTTCAAAGGGTGGGGCCAAAATCTCCTAGGTTTCACTAAGTCAGATCTTTACCAACTTGGTATCCATGAATGGAGTTGCCATTAAGGTGTGTCAGGGAGATGGAACCACCATCCAAAACTGAGGGTGTGGGGTTGCCAAGATGAAAGAGATGGATCTTTTATTCAGATGAACTAAGAGAATGTGGCATTCAGAGCCAGAGTTGTCATTGTAATGGGCCTGGAAGGTAAAACTGAAGGTGAATCTGAGGGAAGGGTCATTGCCCAGATCATCTCAGACAACAGAGGATTATTTTCAAGCTTTGAGAGCTAATGTAAATTATTTCCCAGGCTTTTGAACTTCCTTGGTGATTGTTATCATTTCATTCCCTGCAAATTCTTCCATTTTCAGTGGAAATGTCTACCTGTGTATCCGACCACTGCACTTTGGAAACAGGCTACTTGTAGAGAAATTTTGCTCAGTATTAATCTTATTAGATTTAGATGTTTTAGAAGATGAGATTTGGTACATGGAGTTGCTTTTAAACTTTTGGAATGAAGTGAAAGGGTAAATGTGTTTTGCATGTGGTAAATGCATGGATTTGGGAGCTAGCCAAGGGTGAAATAATATGGATTAAATTGTGTACATCAAAATTATGTGTTGCAAACACTAACATCTATGCCTGTGGTTAGAATCCCATTTGGTAATGAGTTGTTTTTATTATGCAAATGAGGCAGAACAACCCTCTTTTTACAAGTGAGCAGAGGAGAGAAGGGGCAGAAGATATGCCAAATTATATGAAGATTGCATAGGGGCGGGAGCTCATAAGAAACAAGGAACTTCCTCCAGAATTGATAAAGACTTCCCCTAGAACCAGCACCTGAATTCAGATTCCTAGCTTCCTGAACTGTAAGGAAATAAACTTTTGTTTGTTAAAATTATCCAGTTGTAGCATTTTGGTTTAGTTGTTTTGTTGTTAGTAAGTGCCATCATAGTGGTTCTGACTCATAAAGACCTTGTATAGGGTTTCCAAGGAGCAACTGGTGGGTTTGAACCAGCAAATTTGCAGTTCAAACTGACCTTACCGTCCAGGACATTATCCTGCAGCACTACACCAGGAACTTATATAGCTAAAGCAGCATTATATAACTAAGACCAGATGCAATTTCTTGCACTTGGATGGATTTCCCCATGCCCTGTGGTCAATGTACCTTGTACTATTAATCTTCGCAGATTTGGGGACAGAGTACAATTTTCTCCAAAAATTAAGAATACTGTGATGCTAGAAAGCAGTGGAGAATAGTACAGGAGGTAGTTGGAATTACTGTGAAAATGAATGTACTGGAAGGAGAATGACAATCTCAGGAAGACTTGAATGTGGCAACATGGCTGCACCAGTGGGAGGTACTGCATTATAGGTCTTCACTATAATGCCTGCTGATGTTCCATTGCACTGATAGTCAATGCATAGTGGGAGGGACACAGTGAATACAGAATGGGGAAGTCTGCACTCTCTGATGCAAACACATGGACATCTAAGAGCTAGGGAAATAAGAACAGGAGGTTTGGCCATATAAGTCCTTCTTATTTACATACCTTTTTCTATGTATTAAGCCCCTGTTGTTGTTGATGTTAAGTGCTGTCCTGTCAAGTCAGTTCTGAATCATAGCAACCCTGTACAGGGTTTCTGAGGAGCAGATGGTAGGTTTAATCTGCCAACTTTGTGGTTAGCAGTCTAGTGCTTTTCCTACAGTGCCACACTGGAAGTTCACTTATTTAATATTCAAAACACCTCAGTTATTTGGATTCTTCTACTATCTTAATTTTATAGATGAAGAAACTAAAACTTAACAGTTAAAGAAGATAGTGATCTAGGACTCACGCCTGCTCTATAGGTTGTTTGCTCATGACTGATATTTGTGGGCTATTTAGCCTTTAAAGAACTAGAGTGAAAAAGTAATCACATGCATAATTTCTGGTTTCTCTAAAATAATGTATAGCGTATGGAGATGAAGCTGATATTACAAATATGATCTCATTCATGGGCATTACTAAGACATATTAGAGAGGAAAGCCGTGTGGAAAAGTAATTAGATGTCAATACAGTTTTTAAGAGTTGAATTAAGCAGACCTCCAGAGGGAAGATTTACAGAGAAGAGTTGATGTGCCTGATAAATGGCAAATCCTTCTATTAAAAATGGTATCCTCTCCTGGTTTGGTAGCGTAGTGGTTACGAATTGGGCTGCGAACCGCAAGATCAGCAGCTCGAAACTGCTCCGTGGGAGAAAAATGAGCCTTTCTGCTCTCGTAAAGATTTATAGCCTCGGAAACCCTGTTCAGGGTCGCTATGGGTAGCAACTGACTCCACGGCACTTAACAACAACAACTCCTGGTCCAGATCTCACATACATTGTTTGAAACGTTCTGCTTCTCTTCATTTCAATTATTAAAATATCAATCAATAACTGCTGATTTAATATGGTTATAAATAATCATTTTCACCATAACATAGATTAGTTGTACCTAGATATTTTCTTTCTAATATTTAATTAAAATTAGTTTCACTGAACAAATGAGTTTTGGTATAGAAGAGGCATAATGATGATGAATGCTTGTGGGACCCATGACAGAGGGCAGAATACTTCTAAATGGGAACCCAAAGTAGAGTGAATATAGCCAAGGAATTGTAAACTAGGGGAAAGGGGTTTAAGGAGTGAATGAGACAAAATTTTGTTTCTCATCAAATTTTGCATAGGCCTAGCTTCAACCCACTGAAAGAGAAGAGGAAACAAAGAAATGCTCACCTTCTCACTCATATTACACGCCTTCCCCCTCCGTGTTTAAAGGCCACAGAATTCATGCAAATACAGCTAGTGTTTCATTTGTTAAATAGATACTTGTGGGCTAGCCTGAGAACCTAACTGTTATTTATAAGATTGCTTATTCTGTGGAGAAAAGATGCCAACTCTGCAAAATAAATATTGGATTATAAGTTTAGGGCTTGTCTGTGTTGCTTCACGAACTAAGAATAGAAAATTATAGCTTCTGAGCTTAATGGAAAACCCTCTGATGGCCTGAAGATTGTATCTTTAAAAGCATCAAATCTACTGTCAATAAAATTATAAATAATACTATGCTGTTTTTGGTATGTGAATGTAATACTATTAACACACCCAAAATGGACCACAAACAGTACATGCCACACATTTTACATTCACCCCCCCACCCCGGTAATGACTACTTATCTCTATTAAGACAGTCAGTCTATTTTACCCCTCACTGTAATTACCCAGCACATAAATTTGCCAATTTTCTTGTGGCGGTTATCTTTTTTCCTGCAAAAAAAACAAAAAGCCCAAAATCCCAACTATAGAACTAAGTGGGAGCAGGGTTTGTCATTGATCCCATTAACACTCTCTTTAAATCAACTGTGCTAACTAGTCTCATTGATAAAATATCACAGAAATTCACTCACAAATGGCATTATCTATTGAAATGTATACCACTATCTATCTAAGAGACTCAACAGCATGGTCCTAATTAATTATTCTCTCTCTCTCTTTTTTTTTTTCCAGCTCTATAGTTCATGGTTTGATTCAAATGCATAAGTGTCACTGAATTAAGCATCATTTAACAATGATCAGGATGGGTTGCTCTCTCTGAGCCTCTTTGGACTTCTAAAGCATATTCAAGGATCTCTAAATAATTACAGAGCTGATGCGCCCAGCCTGTGCATAAGTCAGGCATTCCAAGCAATCATTTCTCTTTTTAGATGTCTGCTTTGGACAATTCTTTTGATTATCATAGGCAAGTGGGAATTAAAAACAATAGGGAAAAATGCCAATTAGGTAAATTACTTTGTTTTTATAGCTGTGTTAAAGAATAGTGGTGTTATAGCTGCAGAGTGTTCTGTGGCGGAGGGAAACATCAGCTTGGCCTAGAAGGGCAGCAGGTACGTCTGGAAAAGTTGTGTGACTTCTATGAGACACTTTGGGTGTTGGCCTGGGTACCAAGACACAGCCCTTTTCATTCATCCAATAGTCACTGAGCACATGCTGTATTCTGGAGGGCATTGCTCAGGGTCTTTCTTTCCCACTCTGCTGGGGGCTGGGCTGGGGAAGAATTGCATTTGCATCTTCTTCCCCATCTTTAGCCCTCTCTGATTCTGAGTAGCAGATTAAGGGAAACAGCAGTCATTTATGGATTCACTCAACCAGCTAAATTGGTTGAGAATAGAGTATATGTCAGACATTGTGGCCTGCCAGGGATTAAAGATGAATCCAGTCACCCCTGTTCCAAGCAGAACAAAGTGTAATACCAAACCAAAAAAAAAATACAGTAAAATTCAACACTTGTACTTTATGGGAACAGAAAGCCTCATCTTTCTCCCATGGAACAGCTGGTAGTTTTGAACTGCTGACCTTGAGGTTAGCAGCCCAACTCATAACCACTATACTACAAGAGCACAGTGGTATCACACTTGTTAAGTTGTTAAGTGCCGTCGAGTGGTTCCGACCCATAGCGACCCTGTACAGGGTTTCCGAGGCTGTAAATCTTTATGGGAGCAGAAAGCCTCATCTTTCTCCCGCGGAGCAGCTGGTAGTTTCGAACTGCTGACCTTGTGGTTCACAGCCTGATTCATAACCACTACGTTACCAGTGCTCCTTACACTAATGTGTAAGAAATGCTGTGAAACACTGCAGAAGGATTTAACAAATCATAAGGGATGTTAAGGGAGCACGGTGGATCTGTAGGATAGATACTGCACTGTGAACCACAAGGTCTTCATAAGCATGTCTGGTAGCATAGTGGATTATGAGTTGGGTTACTAACTACAAGGTCAGCAACTCAAACTACCAGCTGCTCCAAAGGAAAAAGATGAGGTTTTCTGCTACTGTAAAGATTTATAGCCTCAGAAACAGGGTCACTATGAGTCAGAAATGACTTCATGGCATAAAACCACCACCACCACCATGTTTTCATAAGGCACCCTGGTGGTGCTGTGGGTTAGGTGTTGGGCTTCTAACCACAATCTCAATGGTTCAAACCCACTAGCCATTCTAGAGGAGCAAGATGAGACTATTTGCTCCCATTAAGTCTCAGAAGTCTATACAGAATTGACTTGATGGCAGTGTGTTTTTATTATTTTTTTATATGTGTTTTCATGCTTATGTGTCAACACAAATAAAATGAAGTAAACTATTTATTTCAAAATCTAGATCCTTGGAAGCCTCTGCAACTCATTACATATTCAGTCCAATTTTGTGCACCTTCCTGGATATGAGATTTGATCATTGCAATAATCAGTAACATCTAATGAGCACTTACTGTCTGCCAGGAATGAAGCTAAGTGCTTTAAATACCTGATCTCATTCATTTTTACAAAGAGAGCTTATGACATATTTATTACTATTGTTTGAATTTACTACATCAAAAATGAGAACCTAGAAATAAAACAACTTGCCTGAGGTCTCACATAGCTTAGAGCCAACATTTAAACTTACATTGCATGATGCCAGAGCATAATGGCCAGGCTCTTCTGATAATAGAATATTTACTCTTAGACAATCACAATCATGAATCTTTAAGATGATCTTCCTGGTATATTATACTTACTAAGATGTGAAATGTTGGCAAAATACTACAGAGTTATTTGAAAAAAATTTTGGATCAACCTTTTGTATACAACCAACTAAGCAGATTGTCCCTCACCTCTAAACCTTCATTCTAATTAATCAATTTTTTATTGTACTCAAGAGCTCTAGGGAAAAGAGAGCATGAAGGAAGAGATTTTTACATTATTTTTCAGAAGACAGTTTCATTGTTAATTTGTTGTAAATACAGGATGGGTTGATAATAGAAATACACACACATTTTGGAACAGGGTCCTAATCCACATTTCTAGAATACCTGAAGGTAATCTGAAAGAAAATTGGGAAGATATGAGATATAACTTTCAATTACCTTTTGATATCATGGGAATAGTTGATTTTATAAATGGTTGTTGTTGTTAAGTAGCGTGGAATCAGTTCCAACTCATAGTGACCCTGCACAGGGTTTCTGAGGCTGCAAATCTTTATGGGAGCAGAAAGCTTTATCTTTCTCCCGCAGAACAGCTGGTAGTTTCGAACTACCGACCTTGCGATTAGCAGCCTGATTCATAAACACTACGCTACCAGAGCTCCTTTAGGAATGGTAGGGGAGGTATATTTGTTTCACTTACTGGTTGGGGGGAAGTAGGAATGAGTTCAATTTGGTAAGGAACAATTAATTCCATTGGTCAGCATAGAAGCTGTTAAATCAGATATCCTGGTCTGAGTCAAAATTTTATTGCTCAGTTATTCTTGGGAAGCCAAATGGGAAGAGGATTCTCTTGGCACTTACCTGCCACCCCTGGTGGAGTCAGTGACCAAGCTTGACTTTCTCATTAGAATAAACTCCTGTGTTGGACCAAAGGATGCATTTGTTTTGTTGTTTTGCATTGTCATTACCGACGACCCTGTAATAGCATAGCAATCTTAATAAGTTGGCATTATGACTCTTTCTTTGCAAGGGATCCTAAACCATTCTCAAGAATTCTGAAGATGATTCTAGGCTCATATCTAGGGAAAAGTTTAGGATCCTTAGCTACAGGCTCACCTTGAGAGGATGAATTGTAGAAAACTCTTTAGTATCTTTCAATAGTATTTGAGAGCAGATATTGTATGATTCTTATATAATTATTAAAGTAAGTAAATATTGAGTTGCTGCTTAACTTTTCTAATCCATAACTCTTCCCATATCGCCTACAGTGCAGCATCTTGGGAAGCTTTCTCTTACTTGTAGGATCTAGAGTTAACACAGGGCTCTGAGGAAATGTCAATAGACAAGCTCTCTTCTCCCCTCGACAGAGACTGCTCAAACTGCAATTCATTCTAGGACATCATCTCAGTATATTTCATTTTCCCTTCAAAGCTTTCTTTTTTATTAATTGAAAATTTTGAATAATCTCAATCTTACATGGGCTATGTCCCAATATTTTTGTTAAATTCCAAATTGGGAAATAACAGGAAAGCATATAAGTTTCTCATCTGTAAATCAGGGTTAATCCTAGGATTTCAAAGTGTTACACTTAGAACAAATACAAGAATATTAAAAATTGTAGGTTAGGTGAACAAGAAGATATTGTGAGATGGAATAAAGTGACACATGGATACTACTTATCCATCCTGCATTTTTGTGTTGGTATTAAATCATGCTTATCACAGATTCAACCCAATAGTCCTCATCCCAGTGGACTAAGAAGCCATTGCCAAACCATAAGAATTGATACTTTAAATAACAAGTGATACAATAATAACATTTTAAATGATGTTTTGGAAACTAAGCACTCCCATTTCAAACTTGAAGGGCTCTATCAAATGCTCATTGGAGCCTGATTCCTGAGTGATTAGAGATAGTGAGATTGAGTGGAAGTTAACAAGGAGATGGACAAAGCCAAAGGATAGTCATTACTGCTACTTCTCTTTCCCCACCCACTCAAATAGAGAAAGGAGACTTGACCTTTCTTTTTGTCTCAAGTAGAATCATCTTTGTACTTTGAATCAATGGGGAGCTCATGCAAGACAAATCTTTAAGCATACATATCATTTCACTTTAAAGACTGACAGAAAGACCCACCAAGAAAAAAAAAAAAAAATGGTGTCTCTCTTTTTTAATGTAGTTCTTTCTGAACCATTCTAATTCATAAGAAATAACAATTGAGTCAAAACATAATTTTGGCAGTAGAGGAATATTCCTTGGGCATGGGATTGTTGGTTTAAATCAGCAATAATTGCATCACACAAGTGTACTAAGAGCCAGACTTGGAACAAAATTGTTTCCTACCTGAAATCCCCAGAAGTCTTTACTTACATAGAAAACTTGTTGGGGATTTCAGGTTGACTGATGTTTCCTTATTTGGTGGTTACTTTTTTTCCCTAGGGTGAATGGTCTGGGAAGGGAACAACTGAAGAAAAATGAGTGAGGACTAGTTATATTACCAACTGTCAGTCTTTAAAAGCTAGTCAGCTTAGTACACATGATGGAAGCTGAGATATGGAATGTAAAAGACAACATGCCCAAACTGGCATAGAAGCAATGCAATTTTGAGATGTCTGCTTTTCTCAAAGTTTAACTCTCCAGCCAACTTTGCCTGCTATTAAAACAAAAAGGGTGAGGGAGTAAGTGAGCGATATTAATAAACTTTGCTTTGTATGAACCTCAC